GAGACTTCCTACGAACAGACTTAAAATTTTTGTTGGAGGGCCACTCGTATAGTGTGTGCGATAGATATTTTGGAAACATTCAAAAAGTTTTTAACGCCCAAGAGAAAATTGAAACACCCAAAGACTGGGAAAACGTTCTAGTCAGCAGTGGTTTATCAAACGTCAAGGTCTATTGGGTAGGTCTGGACATGATAAAGGACTACAAGTCATTTTTAAAGTTAAAATACGTCAGTAGAAACGAAGATTTACAGCACGAGAAATTTGAGGTCAAAGAAATCGCGTGGATTAATGTTGGAATTGGGGAACAGCCTGATGACAGGGGCAATCTGAAAGTTGTAGATCATCCCGACTGCGCCTTCGTGCGTTTCACTATTGACCCAAAACAGCAACCCAGGCTAGTTTCGTACACAAAGAAAAGGCAAGCAACTCCACTGCGAATAGACCTACTGACCACACTGAGGCAGGAACTAAGGCCAATTCGTGAAGATGTAAAGCAGCAGTGTCTAAATCTAGCTAGAAAATATTTAAGTGAACGTGCCGAGCGTTTTTATGCTGCCCTACCATGTATCCAAGAGGGCAGCGAGATTGACGATTGAAGGTTATCATTATATACCTTTCACTTGAACATTAATCGTGTGTCCTAATTAGCTTCCTCTTTAACGCAGCACCTCAGTTTCCTTCGCCTTGCCTAGAACCTGGATTTTTCAAAGTTATCCTAAACAGGTTATTCTTTTTAATATATAAATGGTAGTTAGTACAGGTTAAGGCTATTTAGGTTCTTACATAGGTTATGTTCTGAATAAGAACCATACAATATAGCCAAGAGAATTTAGTGGTTCAACTTATTCCTCATATAAAATCTGCACACCAAATAAGTATTGACCTCATTGGCATTTGAACAGTCCAGTTAGAGCGATAATGCAGGTATGTCTTCAAAGAGGATTCTGAACAGTGACTGATCTAACTTTTGCCCAAGGGTACAGGCAAATTTTTTCAGAGATTTTAGAAACTAAGAAATTGTTTCAATTTCTAGACTAAACAGGTTCTTAAAATATAGGTTCTTAGGCAAGGGGTTTCACTGTATAGCACCATTTTATCATTCGCTAATAAATAAATCGTTGTTGTTGTTGAAAACTACTGTTTGCTGCTTGACCGTTCCGGTACGACAGTGAGTTAGAAAGCTACACTAGCCAATGGTTTGGATTCTGAGATAGGTACCTTTTTCTAAAATCAGACAGATATATATACCAAAAAGACAAAAAAGTGGGCTTTTAGTGAGCACGCAAACCCCAAAATAGGATACGTACCAGTCGGGATAACTAACGTTTCAGCCAAATGTATGCGTCAATTAAGATACATGTTTATAGGCTGTGTAGTTTAATGCCCAGTGTTTCCTAAGACTAATGTTTGCTTTAATTTGTCAAATTAGAACTCTAAACCAGAAGACGGATGCTTACTTAAAGCTTCTTAAAATCGAATCTAGAGTTTGGAATGTTGACAAATTCATATACAGATGAAATGCGGATCGAATGAAATTTTTTAAAACTTCTACTTAACTTGTACTCACTTCTGATTTCAAATCTGTTTGATTTGCGAAAGAATACGCAAAATGAATGCTGAGATCGAGAACTAACAGCTAGAAGCGAACGTACCTTTTACTCTTGTAGTGTCCGGCTGTGCCTGAGTGAATTTGGATCGTCGGGTTGATTAAATGGATTGCGTTTTCTAAAACCGTTTCACATTTGACGTAATTCATTTAGCCTCATCATTCATTGTTATTTGCCACAAGGGAATAATTATCGACAAAAAATGGAAAATGACAATGGATAGAGTGCATTGACAATTTTTAGTCCAAAGGCGGGTTGATATTGTGTTTATGTATAGGAAGTACTATAAAGTTGTATACACCAAACTCAATATCCGTTCATAACTGAGCGATTAAGTTGAGCCTTGCACTGTCATTCGATTCAAGTTGACTGGTCAATTTTGCAATGGTACTGGTACACCAGGTTATATTGATTTAACATTGGGTAACGTAACAAAAATAGCTGTCTTTTCTTTGACTTCAAGGTGCTGTCAGCAGTGTTTTTACTCATGTTTTTATGCTCCAATGTTTAAATCAGTTGTGACAAAGGCAAGTGCATAGTGAAGTGCATTTAACAGAAAAAGATCTTTTTTCGGAAAAAGCATCAACGAAAATAAAATTAAGTTAAATGTAAGCTAGAAAAACGAAAACACCACGAAAGAATCAGTAAAGCGGGGTTGCTCTGCTTCGAAATACACTTAAGATAGACCGAATAGTCTAGACTATACCGTGAGGCTCCATGCAGTCACCCTTAAATGGCACACTTAGGCCCTGCCTCTGTTAGGCCTGCGTCACCGTTCTATCACAAATGAGTGTTCGGGTAGTCTCATGTCCAAGCCATTACTCCATTTGTGTTTGTATATAAATGCAGAAAAATTAACCTCCCCAGCCACATTAAATGATCTTAAGTAAGTAATATCCTCTCAAGTCCTGCTCAGGCTCATATGCCGGGTAACATACCCCCAAAACACTACTGCAGATATAGCCGCCTAAACCCCCTGTTTTAAATTTCAAACCGCACCAAAATCATAGTAAACAAAATAGCCTTTAGACTGATTATAAATTTAATGTTAAAACTGATAAGACTTTGGTTCGAACTAGAAAAAAGCTATATTTAGGCAAGCTAAATACTACCCCTCTAAGCGAAGAGATACATTTTACCAAGACAATTCCATCCAATAATAAAGGTTGTACAAAGCGAAAGCAACTGGGAATATCTTGAAGGAATATCCATCGACATTCGACATAAAATCTTCTCCCAGAATCATTTCTCTGGTATTTAGGAGATACTTTTCCATCCATGTCAGTTGTTTGCCAGTGTTTGCCTCAGGTGGCACCGGTTCAGAGTTGTCCGTTGACGCCGATGGCGAAGTAAGAGGCTGGCATTTGCTTTCATTCTCTATGGCTGCCATTTCGTTCCTCTTATCAATTTGGAAGAGGGTATTTTCTCTATAGTTCTGTAAAGAACAAAGAGGGCAGGGTTAATCTGAAAGTTTGCTGATACCGCATATGAGAACGTGAAAGCACGCGGAGAGGTCTGGAGCCGAAGTCCGTTTCACAATTTGCCTCCCTACCACTGATCAGTTTTCGAGATCTGCGCGCCGTCGGGCGAAACATGTCTAATTCACGTGAAAGCAGATCGCGTGGTCAGGGGAAAAGCAGACAAAATTACCTACCTAGCATGGGCGCGAACTAAAATAGATCTCAAATAATTATCATGGGGCACAGGGATTCGCTCTCTTCCCCTAGCTATTCTCTCATGTAAATAATGAACAACTGAGCGGAAAGGCTTAGTTTGCAATGCTCCTTACCGTTTGTTCCTTGAAGGTTTCAGATGCTTTATGATTCTTCTGTCTAGCTTTCAACAGCAGAACAAAACAGTACTCCATAAGTGTGAAAAACACAAACACGAAACAGCCAATCAGGTATTTATCACTGGATTTGATATAACTAACCTGGTGATATTTAAGAAATCGAAAAATTATTAACACAGAATTTTTCATAGACGATAGTATTACTTACTTTTTACTCTAACAGTAACATTCAAACAGTATATTTGTTAATTCTACAATAACTGATTGATTTCTCGCTCGCTCGTTAGTAGTGAGCGGATAGCCGTCAAGAGTAATCGTTTTATCGAGTGGTCATTGGTTTAGAGCCAGGCTGGTCTAGAGCTATAGCCTTTAAGAGTGATCGATTTCTCGAGCGTTAATTGGTGGAGAGCTATAGCTTTCTCATGAGCTCATTGGTCGAGATTAGTAAATAAGAGTAAAGACACTGGAAATGACGCAGTCCGTTCAGCGAGCACAATTTTCCGGAAGAAGTCAACTGTTGAAAAAATTTCCAGTGAAACTGACCACTCATCTGAGGCTCGTTGTTCCACTTGAACTTTGAACATTGTATAACGCCATTTCCGGAAACCATATTAGTGCGTAGGCAATGGAAAAAAATAATTGTGTTCGATTCTTTTAAATGATCACATACCTTTGGCATAGCGTTGTTCATAATATTTAGGATAGCAACCTCCGTGAGAACCGATGTAATACCCAAGGCAATACGAGCAGCTGTTTGGTCCAAAGGTACCAGAAATCCCATCCACGATATGGCGACAAGAACAACACTCATGCCGTACATTTCGATTAAGAAGTAGCTACAGGAACGCTCAAATGTAAATTCTGCTCGAACCCCGGAGAAATTACCTGGGAGAAGTAACGGTTCGTAAATGGAAACCTTCAAATGCCCTGCTCTAAATACAATTTGCGCATGCGTGGAAGAAAAAGTCCGGGTTTGTTACCAGTACAAAATTGGGAACAATTTAGGTTCCTGGGAAGCCCACCTACCCCTCCCCAAGCTAACATTAACACTTACGTCTCACTTAGGGCAAAATGTTGGCTTAGGGGAGGGGTAGGTGGGCAGTTTCTCAGAAACTTAAATTGATCCCCTGAATCTGAAAATGAGTGTTACACTTTGAAAACTAGTGGCCAGAAAAGACACTTTGGCTGTATATACATTTTTAAGTTGTTCCTCGTGTGCTTGGAAAATCAAAACTAAAATAACTGTGATGTCAAGTTGATAAACCGCCCAGTATCGCCTCATTCCATAAACAGTGCTTATGGTGCGGCCATATGTGGATGCTATTTGTTGGATTACTGTATTTTTGTTTCTAAACTGATATTTTAACTCAGTTCGTGCATTGAATAAATTTGGCCAAGATCATCACGAAGCAGAAAATCAGAGATGGAATTCGTAAAAAAAAAGAAAGAGAAATCGCCCTAAAAACACCTGGAAAACACCATGGAGGGGCTGGCATGAAGAAGACTGAAAGACATAAGTTGATCATTCTGGAGAAGTTAGTCCAGGACATTCAGACTCAGACGGGACCAGCAATAGCTTATACTTCACACGGGAATGACGATCCAAGCAAAATTTAAACAAGTAACTTAATTTTAATTCTGCCCGATCTTACCTGCAAAATACTGGTTCATATTCGAAAAAAACTCAGTCTTTTTCAAAACGTAGTTTGACGTTGCACGGATATCAGATGATGAGGACTTTTTGCCGCTTGCTTCCCAAACTTCCCATTTATATCTGATGTGCTGACTATCGTAACCATCTTGGAAAACAGCAAATAACATTAGAAGGTACGGCTTCCATTTAGTAATTAGCATCTTTGCAGCCTTATGGGGGCTACTGATTATGTGGAAGGAAATTTAGAGAATAGGCTAAGAACTCGATACGGCCCTATATACATGTACAGGTTTTGCCACAATCACATTATTATCTTTGATATCTAGATATTTGGGATTTGCTTGGGCTTATGCTTGTGTGGGACTGATTTGTAAACTAGGCCTAACGCGGGTTTTCAAATTTGGCTGAGTGATTATGAGGTCTAGGTACGCTTTTGCATCCCTTTATTGGTCAAAAATGATGTCTATTTATGGGTTGGAGAAGATTGTTACAACATCTGCCAGTAGAGGATCGATGGAGATGCATCCAACAATGAAACTTACAACTTTCCAGAATAAGTGGGCAGACCTGGATATCGATTGGAAACTTCCTTAAGTCAAACTGGCAAGCTGCTTTGGTGGTTACCCTGTAGAGATGTTAATCACAGATATGCATTACTAACGTAATGTAAGGACCTTAATATAATATAAATTATATATAACTAAGTTACCTTCACGGAATTATTTTTTACCTATACTAGTTAGAAGTATATTCAGTTCCTAACGTTCTGGGTAGCCCTGTGTAAGATAATCCAGGACAGTCTTGGATTCTGGATTCCACACTGTGGATATTGGATTTAAGGTACTCGAGTGGTTATTCCTCGTCAGCGGAACTTGGATTCCGGATTCTACAAGCAAAATTTCCCTGATTCCAAACGATTTTTTGTGTTCTTCTTGTTAATGTTTACCTTTAGGAGGTGACCGTGGTGTGTTTTAGTGAGCGCTTTTTACACAGACGACACAGGACACAAGGTTTATTGAACTTTATTGAAATTAGGGTTAGAAAAACTTACGAGACTACTTACATCGACAAAAAAACCATGTGTCATATCTTCTCCGAGCGGGTAAGATGGAGTAAATCCTTTGTCTTTATTGGTTACCCTATCTTTCCCGCTCGGTTTTGCCGCTCTGATCCCAGCCGCAGGCGAAAAAATTCCATTGGCCACATATAAAAACCCTTCATTGATCAAGCTAAAGATGCCTGGATATTGAACTTGCCGTTTTTTTGTCTTATTTATAGACCTTGTCTTCGTCTCGGCCCTTAAAAACGCAAGAAAAAAAGACGGCCATATTTAGCCATCTTTCCCGAACAAGCTTGGTCAATAAGGCTTATATAGATATCTTTCGTTTCGTCATCGTTGTGTTATAAGTTTCCAATTGTGGTTACCTTGCATTGTATTTTATGTTCCCAGACGGGTCTATCGTGAACATCACATTTGGCGCTGTAACTTTGTGCATTTTGGCGGCTTTGGCGTTGAGGAAATAAGAATCCGGTATCCAGATCTTAGTTTTTCTAGCTCCGCCGTTCAGTGTAATGGTTTGATTGAGTCTATGACAAAGTCTTCTGTCGATCCACTCTTGTCGGAGTAATATGTCGATCGTAAAATCCTTGAAAATTAAAAGATGATTACTAACCCAGATAATTTCAATTTTTTGCTCCATCGGATAAATCTCTATCCAGTGGATAAGTATTCGGGAAACCAATTGCACTATCCTCTAGATAGAAATTTACCAGGGGCCGGTTGCTCGAAGCGTGGTTAGCGCTAACCGTTGGTTAAGAGGTATAATGTATACGTTTCCATGGTATTTAACGCTGGTTAGCACTAACCATGCTTCGAGCAACCTGGGCCAGGCGGATAGTGCTATTCATCTTTCGAACAACTGGGCCCTGGATTTTTTTTCTCTTGCAATACGCACTCTCATTGGTCACTTGGAGGTCACGTGTCATCCAACAATAAAACGGTTTCGCGCAAAAATTCTCCCAGCATGAGGCAACATGAACACTAAATGTGACGTCAGAGGGTAACAGTCCACTGGTTTTACACGCAAATGTTGTCCCTTCGCAGGAGCCCGAGAGAGATAAACATTCATAAATTTGTTCACCTAGAGTTTCTCTTCGGGGGCTATTTAACAAATCACTAACTGAGGGTCCTTAGCTCAGGAGACTAGTTAATTGTTTCTCCCTCGGATTCTAATGCTTCCCGAGACAGAGCAGGCGAAAGCAAAATTTTCGGAGAGCAAAAATAACCCTCATGTTTAGACATTACGTATTTAGTTCTAAATGATATTCAGAAAATAATTGTTTCATTAACACCATGTTGACAACATCAATCTTGTCGATAGAAAGAATCCAAAATCCAACTGTCACTATCACCGGGCCACCTGCAGAGTAAGAATTTCATGTTTTAAAAGAGTGATCAACACTTATTTTCTCCTAACAATGTCAATGGCTTATCAAAAAAAATTGGAATACAGTCAAACCTCTTTAATACGGACACCAAAAGGACAGAACCAAGTGTCCGCTTTACAGAGGTGTCCGTATTATAGAGGTAGGGAATGTATGATTTCTGGCATTTTTCTGGGACCAAACGAACTGTCCGTAATAGAGAGGTGTCCGTATTATAGAGGTGTCCGCATTATAGAGGTGTCCGCAAGGAGAGGTTAGACTGTGTGAGAATTAATAAGATGAACCCCTAAGGGAAATGCTTGGACCTTTAAGCATATTCTCTCAACTAATATATAAGTTCTTTAAGGTAATGTACGTAGATCGGTCTGGAGAATTTGTATGTTGCATTGCCTATTGAGTCTATTGGGGCTTTAAAAAGGGACAATAGAAATCAAACAGAAAGCACCAAATCTGCAGATATTGAGAGCTAATAACCTCGTACATTTCATTAAAAGGTGGTACATTCCTCAAAAATCACTATTTTTTGATATGCTCTTTTGCAAAAGTATTCCCTGGTATTCTTAAACTATAGCATGAGATGAGTATATTTTTATACTTTTTGACTTGTTTAGTTACCATGGCAACCAATAATGCTAAAAATTAACCCCCTGGGATAACCGGTACAAAAACACTTCTATCTCCAAGACATTACAAGGAAAACTGCTGAAACTTTTGGAATTTCATCTACATATTCTTTTTTATGCAATGAACTAAAGGCATTCTTATCAGGCTAATAGATACAAAATTATTGCAATAAACCTATTGACATTCAAAATAACTGAATTAAGGATCCAGTTTTGGGCCCTCAGACAACAAAGATTACACCGAGATAAATGATTGTAGTTCATTGCATGTAAAAACATACAAAGATTTCTCACTCCAAATATGAGAAGAATTGAATAAAACCATGGAAAGTTATGATTGCTAGAGTGTACATAGTTCCGCGAAATATAAAATTATGAGAAAAAATGGTTTAAAGTTTGAGAAATATAATTCGCAATGACTGTAGCAGAGTTTCCACATAGACAACTCTTTAGAACTGTCCAGAGGCATAGTTCACACCCTCTTTGTTTCTTTTTGTCCTCTTTTCTTTTTTTTAGTCCTCTTATGACTTTTCTTCTCTTTTTGGTGCTTGCCTTGCTTTTATATTCTGCACCATCCACCCGTAGCTGATCAAGAAGCTTACAACCCTCTTCTGTATATTTTCCAGGGGGAATGTTTAAGGCTTGGAAAATTCTTAAAACAGTAACTGCTCCAATATTAAAATGAGCAACTGCATCATACAATCCTAGTTCTAGTGTTCTAGTGTTTCGTCGTTTAATTGCCTGAAATAACAATGTTTTGTTTTCATTTCCAACACAATCTGTATAGTAAAATAGTTGTTAAATAAAGCCTTTAAATAATTCGAAGTTATAGCAGATCAATCCTGCGCAAATCGTTATCCCTAACAATGAGCATGTGTAAGGTAGGGAATTATAGAAAATACATGATGCATGAAAATATACGAAATGATTCCTTACCGCCAAAGCCAGGACGAAGCCGGGGATCGTACATTTGTCTGTCTAGTAACCTGTTTAGAAGCTGAGACCTTGCTCTACTCTTGTCTTCTATGGTGCTGGTAAGAGATTAAAGTAGCCTGTTGATTTGCTGCAAAATTATATGTTCAACCTAAAGTAAGGGAACTTTAGATGTGTGTAGTAGCATTGTTGGCTACAAGAAAACAGCTGGTGTATGCACAATTCAGGAGTGTATAAATTATGAGCAGACTTCTTTGGCCTGTCGCAAATAAATGTTACAACGAGCGTTGTTCAGTTTCATTTAAATGATTTATCCGCTATTTTCATGAGTTCCGGGAGAGGGTATTTTCTTTCGTTTTTGGTTCTTTGTCACTCTGTGTTTTACATTTTTTAAAGAAACTTTCTTCCGCTTGAACAGGCGAACTGAAAGAAAGAATACGAGGTGAAAATGTTTTTTAATTTTTGAAATAAGATATAGTTCATATCAGCTGGATTACAAGATTTAATAATCTTACCTCGCAATATTTCCTGAGACGAAAGACGCGTAGATAACTCCACACAGAACTGATTCCAAAAACATTGCCATATTTCAGATTTATCAGTAGCTTTCTCTGCATATTGTAAACGACAGATAAAATTTTCACTGCAAATTTTGTCATCTTTTGTTGCTCGATCAGGTCGTGTGGAAAGATTTTGTTAGGACGGCTCGGGATGATGCCCGGCCTAAGTAAGTTTTTTGCAAAGGGAATTTAATAAATTAGCTGATTTGTTGGTAGTTGTTAAAGACTTTAAAAAGAGTATGATAAGTCTGTAATAACTTTACAATGTGATCGACGTTGTCAGGAGAGAACTTGGCATATTACGTGTGTTGTGGTGCTGTTAGGACTTGTTATGACGTCATGAAAAGCATCTTGGCCGCCATCTTGGATTTTACTTAACATTAATTTATTGGGGATTTTATTCACTAAACGCCGTTTCTCTTACTTAAGATCGTAACTATCATGACGTCATAACTTGTAACCATTAGTAACCGAATCATATCAAATTTTGGCAAAACGTTTCTAAGGAATTAAAACGAGGCAAAAAAGTTGTACGTCAAGGATTAAAATAAGCATACTGTAAAAATTATTGTTTCCAGCTTGTTCTTCTGTCCATCCACTTGCTGTGCAATCTAATTCTGGATCATTTCTGCTGCTGTTGAATTAAAACAAGAGAACAAGAGTACGTCTGTAAACATCATTTAGTATTCCGCGGAAGGACAATCCAAATGCATCAAAGCCACTATCTGTTGGTTGATTTCGAAAAACGAAAAATTTCGTGCAGATGTGACGTGCTGTGCATCACTTCTAGTAATTTCAAAAACGTCGTATGTAAATAAAACTTTAATAAACCCAGAACCCCCACAAAAAACTTTTAGTAAATGTAAACTACTGGTCATGCAGTGTATGGTGTAATACAGTGAGCAATTATGTGCAAAACGCACTGTTGTAAGTTGTTATACTAAAAAAGGAACTCACAAGATGTTAGTATTTGCATTATGATTACTCCTCATTAGTAAAAAGACGGAAAAAATATCAGAGCTTCTTTTATCAGAGGAATTGAAGTGGTGTAAATAACTTGAAATTGCTTTTCGCACGGCCTTAATTTTGACAAACTTGTCATGTGATAACTTTCGCTAGCAATGAATTGTGACTGACTTAAGGTCTTCACTAAACACTGCACGGGGTCGCCATAAAAGAAAAAGAAAGAAAAGAACCAAAGAACCCTTTTGGCAGCTGAATATAAACCGATCTTCCCCAAAAGGTGACTTGTGAGAGACATTAGCTGATGAGCATTACCTGTAAAAATATCAGCACAAAGTTTATCCACTTATATAACAGTAATCTTGTACCAGAAAGCAACTGAACACCATTTTGATTTTCTGGGCAAAACTATATGTGAGTCCTTGTACTTCAGTGTAATAATTTCGACCATTACATGCTACGATGTTAGATCACTAATGAAATAAAAGTATGTAACCCTAACCCTAACCCTAACATCATTAACAAGTTCCACTATATATCCGACATATTTTCTCTTTCCCAAGTCTCGGCTTCAGCCATTGTTGCTTTAAAACTTCGGTAATTTCCGTGCATTTATTTAGTTTCGCTTATTACTCCTTTTCCTGCACGTAGTCTGTCAAAAGCAAAATGTAGTTGGTTTGACAATGATGAAGAAATGATGACCAAAATATCTTCTGTTTGAAAATATGTAGGAACCGCTGAAAAATAAAAACATAATGACTTGCACTTAATTCCCTGACTTCAGGGGGGAAAATACATGTCATAATGTCCAGAAAGTTCATAAAAGCACAGTCGAAACATTTGATCTTTCGTGCAGCGCGATTTACTCAACTCCTTTAGAAATCACTGCAGGCTTTACCACAGGTCTGGTTTATAGGCAATTTGGATGCAATTCTATGATTTATCATGTGACCCACCTATTCATCAGATCCATTAATATAAGATAACGTTGACCGCAGGATTTTGAGTACGAGAGAATGCGTTCGACCAGCAGAAACCCGATTTACCTGTTTACAGGTTAAGACGTGCGGTGCAGTTGATGTCTCCAGGGCGTGCAAACCAGAAGAGATTACCAGCCCCTGCCAGCGTGCTTTTTATTCAAAACCTTCAAAGTTTCAGAGTTTTTGTTTTCGCTTTACAACAAAGTCTGTTTACAGGGTCAGCCAGTGGGGGTAGTGGAATACCAAAATACTTGAAATAAACCTTCCATGCAATATACCAAAAATTACACTAAAAATCGTGTTAAGTACGAAAATTAAGAAGGGACTCTCGACAAACCCTTTTGGAAAAGATAAAATAATTAATACATACGTAATCAACATGTATACGGTTTGAACTCATTTTGATTGGAAAAATATCAAAGGGTTTAGTTTAAAAATACGTACTGATTTCGAGTTTTTTTATGAATATGGGAAGGTTGTTCCAAATTTCACATCCTTTAAATCTTATAGAATATTCTTTTGTAATTTGTGCGTGCCTGTTCTTTGTGGATTTAGACTTGAAAAAATGGTTAAATGTGATAGGAAGTGTTTTTGAAAAAAAGAACTTAAAAGCAAATAATGCTATAGCTTCGTTGTGCAAGTCATCAATTTGTAAAACAGACAGGTTTTTAAAAATTGGCCGAGTATGATCTCTGAAATCTGAAAATGAAGTAACCCTGATAATCTTGTTTTGTAGTTTTCTAACTGATTCTAACCTCGCGAGATATGTATTCCCCTATATTATATTTTCATAATTAAGATATAGGTAGATTAATGAATAATATATAGTTCTTAGTGTCTGGGAAGGAAGGTAGCGTCTGGCTTTAAATAAAATACCGATTGTTTTTGCTATTTTGGTTGCAATATGGTTGACATGTACTTGTCATGTTAGATTTGAATCAATATAATTATCGCTTGCAGCTTAACTTTTGCCAATATTCTAATTCTACAACGTAAGCTCTGAATCTCGTCCTACCGATCTGCAGGGGTACTTACCATTTACATGGAAAAACCGGAAATTATGGCTGGAAAATTAAATAGTTCGCGCAATTCCGTTTGGAAAGCTTCAGAAAATATGGACTGTGGTTTCAGGCGATGCAATTTTTCTACTCTTCTTAGTCTGTTCAGCTGATTTGAATAGTCATTTGTGGCGGGTCGTTCCCCCACCACGTCAAATTTTACAGTTTTATGTTTATACACCGTGAGATTTCCACCCGAGTGGTTTGAGTAAATGGTAAGCACACGCCAGAACTTTCTAGTCAAATAAGTAGTTATTTATCACGGTACAGATAAAGAGGCATAGCAAACTTATTTATCATGAACACAACCCGAAACAAATCCAAGTTCAAATCCAAGAACAATTGAAGTGAACTATTGTTCATTGCTAGTCATAGTTGGTCCCAATAAAAAATAATTGTAATAAGTTCTAATCAACCCTTTTGGAACTCCCAGAACTCAACCCTTGAACAATTAATTAAGTGGCAGAAGTATTAAAAGAAGTTATAGGTAGTAAAATTCTGCCCATGTTGGCGTTCAAGGTATGATGACCGATGTAGAGCATAATATTCGTCCCAGGGTATTGTAATTCATGAGATTATAATAAGGTATGGGGAATCAATCTGATCTGGAACAAGCCCAAGACAGACTGAATTGAATATACTAGGTAATCTGGAACCCGACTTACTCGTTGGGGAGGGCGGGTGGGTCGCCAATCCTTCGTGTCGGACAAAGTGAAGTGAATGGGAAAATGCGTGCCAGTGTTTCCTATTATATATACTTATTTGCATATCATTAATTAATCCCCAGGGATGATATTTACAATTCAGATGGCACGTGAATAGTTGAGAAATTCAGATTTTTGCAGATAGAAAAAGAAAAGACTCGTGCTGATGGGACCTGAAATTACTTTTCACACAACCTTTTCATTCCAAAGTAATTGTATGATGTTTCAAACCTTCACTATGGCAGCATATGTTTCTTTCGAGGATAAAGGAGCCTAAAAGCCAGTCGGCCAAAAAAGACAAAACAATTGGCTTTACTACTGTACTTATTAATAAGCGAACTGAAAAACTGATCCTATTGTCACGTTTTCTCTAGACATAAAAGATATCTGCAGAAAAATCCCCTCACCGTACACAGTTTCTTCCTCAAAGGACAATATGTAACAGTGCTCCTGGAAGAAAATAACAGCTTTATTTTTAGCTTTCTTATTTGTGCAAGTAAGCTTAAATGATTTTAACCAGACGATTCATGATCAATTCAGAATGAAAAAAATACAAACCTACTACTCTACTGTCAAACGTTCCTTTTTTTCTGTTATTTTTTCATCTTTCCCCCTTTCTATTTGAACGGCAATTGTCGCTTTTGAACATCCATAGTGTTGATTCCGACATGATTTGAACTGTGGAAAGAAAATAGGTTTTCCTGACAGGTGCAAACGATTTTACTTTGCCATTATGTAGACTGTCCACCCATTGAAAAACATAACAATCCACAAAATAAACGTCAATCTTTCCTGTTTGGGTCTCATTGGCTAGGGAAGATAACATCATAGGCCTAACTCTTGCTGTCGCAGAAAACAATGAACAAATAAACGACACAGCCATAAGCATACCATGGACGGTGGAACATTTTTCGAAGAGGGCGCGCTGACTTGCAGCTAAAAAGAGGGGGGACTGAGGATAATTTCCTCTTAACAAGTCGTTTTCTTTTTCAGAAAGGTACCGCCCCTTCTCCGGTTTTTACTTCTCTGAGCAAACATCTATAAGCATAATTAAATCACCATAACGCCACTTGAACTCGCGAACTGGAGTCCAAACTACAAGGTCCGAGGTTCTTAAGGCGCATGGCCATGCTAATGAGTTTTGCGAGTGTAATACGTGTGGGTAGTACGCTGGGTTCTAGAGGATATTTTTTTCTTATCGATACTGATCGTTCGAGGCGAAGTCACGTCAACGAGGCGCGAAGCGCCGAGAGAAAAAAATAAATAGAAGCTTAATGCGCATGGCCATGTTAATGAGTTTTACGTGTGTAATACGTGTGGGTAGAAGCTTAATGCGCATGGCCATACTAATGCGTTTTACGAGTGTAATACGTGTAGGTAGAAGCTATAATGATAAAGTTCTTTGTACAGCCATCGTGCCTTTTCTATTTGATGCAAGTGTCAGAAGTTTACCTAAGTGCGCGTGCGCAGGACAAATGGGCTGGGTCATTTTTAAGGGTCATTTTTAGTCACATCTGAACGCTACCATCCTACCCACAGTAGCCCTTTCTATAATTTTTAACGTAAATTCAACTTGGGCTTCAGTTTCGTTCTTTCTAAGACTATTCAAAAACATTTTACTTGCCTTATTGTAACTTAATCCAGGGAATATACCCGTAAAATTCCGAAAATAAGCCCCTCCAAATGTAGGCCCCCAAACTGGTGACGCAAAAAACCCTCCGTTAAATCGCCCCTCCAAATATAAGCCCCCTGGGGGTTTGTACTTGGAAAATTGCCCTCAAATACAAAGTAAAACAACACAAAAACGGTAAATTCACTTCCAACTATAAGGCAAGCCCAATCGAAAAAAATTAGCCCCGGGACTTATTTTCGGTATAAAAACTGTTGTCGAACCCAGCCACGGGCAAATGGCATATTCTTTCCTCACTAAATACCTCATCGGCATTCAGTATAATAATCATTGTTTATAAAGCTTTGCATATTTGGAAAAAAGAATAAAGGGCTAGTTGACGTAAATCTTAGGAAAATCTAAATTCAGTTCGTGAAAAAGTTTTTAAATTTTGATCGCGTTATAATAACGAAGTGGTTTAAATCGAGAAAAAATTTTAAAATTCTACGTTAACAAAGAGACCCCACGGGGCCATTAGTGGGGGAATAAATCTGAATCTTCATTTAAATCCAAGATGGCGGCCATTAATAGTGACGTCACAAGTTCCCAGTAACATTGTATTTTATTCTAAAATCATCATTTCATGTTCTTAAATTACGATCACACTTTAACCACCAACCACCAGCCCCTTACTTCCCTCCCCCGCCCCACTTTTACCAAACTTTGGAGTAAAGTTTGCTTATATACAACCGAGTATTTCTTAAACTCGAGTTCAGGCGGTTTTTGTTTGCCATTTAGCACACGCCATACTCGGTAGTTTAGTTTTCATTCAATACGAAAATTACATAGTTCTCTTAGAGAGAAGTAATTTTTTTGATCTTTGGATGAAAAGAGGAATTAGAGTGCGGTGATGCCTGTAATACAACCCATGGTACGAGCACATTTATTAAATCCGTCAATACTCTTGCCAACTCACGATCAGTATGTTCTTTTCTTAATTGTTTGTTACGTAAACTTAAGATCATATAGATGCCGACGTATGAAAGATTAATATTATCAAATGTCTTGAAACATGATCCGCGTTTCAAGATTGTCTACATTTCTTGTACATAGTATACACTGTTGAGGTGGTCCAGTCCTTGTCCTCTCTATGGTATGGTCTCACATATGGATACCTTCTCTAGCTTGTTGTTATCCTGCTGTCATCAACTGCGTTGTGTCTCGTTTGAATCCCAACCGCTGATGATTCACAATCGGAATCTCGACAGGCCTTTACTTGGACTATGTAGTATAAAAATAAGGAACCTCTAACAAAGGTTTTGCGTATTTTGCCTCACAGAAACTTAAAACGTAACCAATATATGATGTTAAACAGCGCAAAACAAATCGGAAAGAGAACCCTGGCGTAATCATCAACACAATCAGGGTCAATGAAATGAAGGCAGGTCCTCTTTACACTGCACTGTGGAGTTCTGGGATAGGTGAGTGGTCTGTGTTCGATGTCACTGGATGAACGGTGCCGTTTAGCTCTTGATCGCTCACAGAGATGAGTAGTCGCTTTCTTTGACTTGTCAGCGAATGCACTATAACTCTAGTGGATTATCAGAAACATGTATTAATGTATAAATTTTATGAGACAATTTCAAAACAAGAAATAGTTGCAAATTTGAAAGCAATAGTCGTGGTCAGTGAAATGGTCCTTGGACTGAGAGCGATCAACTAGAACCAGGTAGAATGTGCTAAAATCACTTCCCTACCCCACCCTCACCCAGGGTAATTAGTTAAAAGCTTTGCTCTTTGAAATCTGCAATCAAGCCCGGCTGTGAAATTCAGGGTTGGGGGCTAGGGACAGGGATGCAGTGGCATCGGTAGGGGTTACCCACCGCAGAAAGATCATTATTTTCATAATTTGAGCATCTTCCTCAACTAAGATATTATAATGATGTGAAGTATATATGAAATAATTAATTTTTGAACGGCGGTTGTAGATGAAAGTGAAAAATGATCATCGCAGTAAATTTTCCAATTTAAGCAATTGGAAAGAAGAAGCCTGAAAAAATCAGGGCTTCAACGGGATTCGAACCCGTGACCTCCGCGTTACCGGTGCGTTGGTCTACCAAATGAGCTATGAAGCCACACATTGGGAGCGAGGTCAATTTATTGAGTTCATATCTCCCGTGAGATAAGATATTATATTACATACTTTTGTACTAAGTTATCTGCCCCGATCATTTCGTTTCGATTTCTCCAATAGTCAAACGAAATTTTAATTAAAATTACTAAGTAATTAACTTGCCCATGCTCCGCCCAGAGCCTGGTAGCACTTGAGTGCTACAATACACTGAATTCAAGGCAGTTAACGTTCCTGTAAAAACCCTTTTGGATTGACCTTATGAGCCGTGAAGACTATTTATAATTACAATAACTGTCATATACAGTACCTCGAGTGGATCGTAGTGGTCGTAATCTGGATTACCCTTGTGGGGTATACTACCATTCATAGCTGATTTCCGCGAGTTGTTTTTTAATGACTCTTCTTCCTATTTTTAAGACATATTCAAAATACAGATGAGCACTTCAATCTGTACACAACAAGAAATATGCTCTGCATAAAGTTTCATTTGTTTCGTTACTTACCGCTTCTTCTATCTGTTGGAGATTCATAATCTTTTTTAACCGTTTATTATGAACATTGACAACATAGAGAACAAAAGTGTACTCCACTAGTACGCAGAAAACAAACAGAAAGCTACCAATTAGATACCAGTCTATTGCCTTGACGTACGATACCTGAAATGAAACGAAAGAAATGATTTGAGTAAAAGATTTTTTGAATTCACATACATTTCACATTTCTAGCAGTTCTAATGCCGGTTTTGAAGCCAAATATAGACGAAAAGGAACTGAGTAAATCTGGAAATAGCTTACATTCGCAGGTCCAAACCAGTACGCAAGGTAAGATAAGATAAGATAAAATAAGCCCGATAACATAAAACAAGGCAAGACTAGAGAAGATATTAGGCATGACGATATAACATAATATAAGATAGCAACTATCTGCTGTGGCCCTGTTCCTGATAGAGAATATGTGAATTTATTACCAGTCCATACCTTTGGCATTGTGGTATTCAACATATTTAATATAGTGGTTATCGTCAGTACTGAAGTTATCCCGAGAGCTATCCGGGCTGCAGTAGCATCGGGGGGAATGCAAAACGATATCCACGATAATATCACAATTAATGCACACGGTGCATAAATATGAATAAGAAAATATCCAGCTCTTCTTGTAAACTTAAATGACGAGGAGAGACGCGACCAGTTTCCTAAAAAGAAAGAGAAGAGTCTAAAAACTAGCAGTCTATTTAATTTTAAGACAATAAAGACACAGTTTACTAAAAATTATATTATCCATTCCAAATATTTCTCGGTTTCTGATTGGCTTAAATCCCCTGGGTAATTCTTCAACATTAGCTAGCGTTGACCAAATTTGGAAGAATTTTGAAACATCCAGTAAAATGTCATCAATAGCACAGGCTATAGCCCGGGGCTATAGCCAGTAAAAGAGACGGTAATCGCCGAGTCGTCGTTGGCTCGGTTGCTTCAGTTAGAAAATGACAAAAAATTTTCACACGTTTGGCAAGAAGAAATAGCCGAACTGCTGAGAACCATAGCAAGAACAGCAAAAAACAAAGAGGACCTAAGGTGGATAACTCCCTCGTCGAGCTGCATAATTAATTCTTCGTATCATACTAAGCCTCATCCAATAATTGTTAATTACGAACGAATTGTAATCAAGAAAAGAGTTTGCTTTAAACACGAATTATCATTATTTTTATGTTGAAAGGGAGCTGAGTCCATAACCAAAGGCACTTAAGTCTGTCAAACAGGATCTAGAAACATATTTCCGAATGGACTTTTGTCTGCGATGCACCCACCTGAGTAATAAGCTGTAAAATAACTAGTTGTTGTTGCGCCTGTTAAGTTGTATTGTGGCATATCATCCAGTTTTTCATTTACCGCCACGCCTTTGTCGGTTCGATTTTCCCATCTATACTGCATATTTTCAGCGTTGTAGCCATCTGAAAAGTAGAGACAAATAAAAAACAAAAACTCAGCCGATCGCCACAAATTCTAGTGATAATCACTGACGCGCGAACTTTGAGTAATGACTTCATAAATACCAGGTTTTAAATAACTTACAGCTCTCGATGTTCAAATTGCACTGCTGTTTATCAAAAGGAAAAAGTCGCAAATCCATGGGACAGTTGGCCCGCACAGTCACTCTGTAAAAACAGATAAGAGGATATAAACTGCAGATGTATCTATCGCGTCAGTTTTGCTTACACAATTTAAGAGAAAGGCGAGAATTCATCATGCGTCTTTTTAAATGATCAGATTTAAAGTCTAACTTGTGTTGGGGGCAATGAATATTCTCAGCGATGAAGATCAAATTTAATGGGCTATTTTTCGTGATATCGATTAGGGAATTTGACAGTAGAGTAACGCTGACAGTGTGGTTAGTGTTTCTGATTAAGGGCTTACTTGGCGCTTAAAAGCTTTTAAATTTCTTTAATTTGCCATATTAACCCATTTGATAACTCTAAGCTCTGCATTTCGGTGCCAAGTGACGCATTAGCTTTGTCTCTGTAGGGACGAGCCCCTTTATCCACGAAATGTTTGGACAAGAGATGATGGCGCCGGCAGTGGTGAGAATATTCGTTTCCCACAAGCGGCCTGGGTTCGAGTCCTGGCGTCGACGCCATATGTGGGTCGTGTTTGGTGTTGGTTCTCTCCCTCCCACCAAGAGGTTTAATTTAGCTCTGAGTAATCCGGTTTTCCCCTCTTCTCAATAAGTAACACTTTCAAACTCCAATCATTAGACCAATATAACAACGATTAAGCTTTTGGCCACTTATTATTGGCTTGAGTACCTGGCGTTGTAATGAACCCCACCATCAGGAGATATGGACAACAGCTTGTTTATCATCGTCACTTTATGGAACTGTGAACTTTTGGAATTCTCAAAATACGTGTCTGGCAACCAAATCTTGTCCAACATGGAGTTACTAACAGCTAGGGTTTCATTCCGGTTATGCTTTAAGCGAGGATCATTCCAAAGTTGTCTAAGAAAGAAATCTAATTTGTAGTCCTAACAAAAAAAGAAAGAAAGAAATAAAGTATAATAGTGAATAAGCCCCGTGCACACGGACGCATCATTGGTGGCCAACAACTCTCAGCGTTGTTGGATGTTACATGTTGCGTCCGTTTGCACACCCTGTTGAATGTTGCTGCATGTTAATTGCAGTTTCGCTGGGAGTTGTTGCGCAAAGTTTAAAACCAGTCAGACTCAGAGTTCTCAAGCAGTGTGGAGCTCCACCAGTTTATCTAGCTAACGTATTTGTAGCTATTGTGCGCCCAGTTTTACAATACGCTGTCTCCGTATGGCAAAACATACCTGAATTTCTGGCTTCTACGATCGAGAGCATTCAAAAAAGGGCTATGCGTTTCATATTTCCTATGCACGATTACAATGAGGCTTTATCTGCACTTTCTCTCACGACCTTAAAAGAGAGACGAGTCCATCTGTGTCAAGTCTACATTGCTAGATTACAGAACGAAAACCACCCGTTACACTCCCTAAACTGGAGGAAGTTCACAATAATTATCATCTGAGGTCAGAAGCACCCAATTTGTAAGACTGCAAGCGCACTCAAGATTTTATTACTTTTAAGTATTAGGTGTTGTTACTTAGTAAATTTTTAAGTAGCTTTGCGATTTATTATCTATATTTATACATATTATTATACGATTGTAAGTAGCTCTGTAATTCAGCCTTATATGTACAATATGTTGCTTCAATGAGTTTCTTTAATAAACAGTCATAAATTACACTTGGTTTACAAAGTCCCACGGGTTGTATCCTTCCCAAGATGCATTGCAGGTCCCAACAATGTTGGGAGTTGTTGCGTCCGTTTAAACGTAGCTATATATATATATTATGGTTGGATCGGTCCTGAGGGTGTTATACTTAAAAGAATGGCATGTATAGTTCACGCTTCGAGTAGCTATTTTTGTGGTCCCAGTCTTCACTCTATTTATGGAAAGTTCTCAGTGTTCGAAACTTACTCTACTCTAATCTTTCACTGAATAGAGAATAAATTTAATCCCAACTTCAGCTTACCATGTCAACAACGTTGATTGAGTCAATGGACAAGACCCATAATCCTACAGTAACCATAACTGGCGAACCTAGAAAAAGTAGACAAAAGGAATGAATGACAGGTCCCGACCTGCACTATCTACATACCTACCCTCGCCTCTTCGCGCTCTGTTATGAATAAGGCTGTATATCCTTCTCCTGCCATCTTGAAAAGTGCGCGTGTTTTCAATAATGATACTTGTTTACGGGGATGAGACATTAACCCTTCACCCACCCCCAATCTGGAAGACGAGGTGCTGTGATTTGTCTGTTTTCTCGCCCAAAAACTGCTCAGCGCAGTTAAAACCATCAGGGACTAAGGTCCCAACTGGTATAGCTTTCAGGATCACCATGGCATGCAGACCTCGCCACCACATTAAGGCGCAACTCTTAAGGAGGTGCACCATCAAAGAACACTGAAGAATTATTTAAACATGTATGATCTCACAGAGAGCTTTTTGGCTTTTCGCCCAATGCGAATCTTTTCAGCTCCTGTGGTACAGCAAAAAGATAATAATAATTTAATACTTGCTATAGACCTTTCCCGCATAACGCTCCAGTGAGCAAACATAAAGAAATGAGGACGAGGTTCGGGTGTACAATTTCATACAAATCACTGTACAGGGGCACCCAACGGGAAATTTTGAGAAAAAGACCTAAAAACAATAACAAAGCGTGAATAAAGTTTTCTGAGACTATTTTAAGCATTTTGGGAGATTGCTGGAAAAAAATTGTCCGTTCCTCACTCCCAGCAAGACTGATGGAAGAGTTCCCAGCCAGCAACCTTACAACCTGCAACCTGACTTACTGGGAAGTTTCATAGGGCACAATTAATTCAGATCTTGAGTGGTAAGTAACCCATACAAGTAACCCGTAGCAGCTATTCTAGACTTCACATCCCCTCTGACACCCGGAATTATCTTTTTCCCAGCAACACTTTCCTTCCAAGGACTATTATTTCTTCCACATCTCCCAGCTAGCAAAAATGTGCCTGAAGAACAGATATATTGAGGAACAGATCCATTGGGTGCCCCTGACTGTAGTTTGTCCACCCGAGCCTCGAGTTGGTGCCATTGTTTACAGGAATGCAGGAAAGGTCTATTACGCAAATTAACATATTAGTACATGATCAAATGTGCAGAACAATACAGCACAATACAAATGACGTGATACTGGTTCCCCACTCCCCACCCCTCCGCAGTTCTTTGTACCGCAGTGGGTATATGACTTTGCATGTAATTTAGTGGGCTAGCAGTAAATATATGTCACAGAAATAGAAATCGACGCTTACCTCCAAAGTTTGGTCTCAGTCTTTTGTCATAATCTTTAATAAGATTGTTTAAGAGAGCTGTCATAGTTTTTGCTTCGGCACTAAAAACAAAGCATAGTACTGAGTATATTGTTAATCATTTTATAAATTTCATTGTTATAGAAAAAGGGTTCTTCTAAATGCAGACAATCAAGTCAACAGATAATATTTGTTTGACAAGACTAAATTATGCAATTTTTCTGTGATTCAATTTTTTACCTTTCTTTCGATTGGACTGCTCTGATAAACAGAGTTGCAATTACATATGCCGCTAACGTCCAGCGAGACCCACTCTTGCCGTTCATTTTGCTGTTTCATTCGAGGACGCAAATATGTTCAAAACTGAAAAAAAAAAAAAAAAAAAAAAAAAAATGACAGTCATAAAATTTAAGTTACAGTTTAAGCAATGAAGGTATCAAAATTTTGTACATTCGAGATCAACCTCTTGCATGGGTCAAATATTCTCCATAGTAATTTGCGTGCAGTTTCCTTGTCTTTATGAAGACCTTAACATAAAAAAAAACAACAAACAAACAAACATCTGCAAGGGCGTATTTTGAAATGACTTTATCGAACGTTTAATTTAACGTAGCGGCAGGACATTATAAAGCAAAGAGCAATCATTTTCTGAAAGGACCAAAGCAAGGTCTGCAACAATTGCAACTCGAATTTTATTAATAATAAAAGCTTAAAGCCAGAAGGGGTAAATGTACAAATGTACAAATTTACAAATGTACACTTTTATTCCGCAACAGACGTTATTTTCCAAAAGAAGGAAATATTAACAGTAACAATCAGCGGAAGAAACAAATGTAATTTGACTTTTTAGATATTCCATACATGTTGTGTTCCTAGGGCTGTAAACATGAGACCGATTTTCTCCTAAAAAAAATGCGGTTCCAGCTCATGTGGAGAATCATTGTCACCATCAGTCATATTAATTCCAAACTGTGATCACTACACAGTGCTAATGTTATCTTAAAAGGGTTTCTCTTAAAATTCTCAGCAGGTTAACAAAAAAGGCAGTTCCTTATTTAAATATCATAATCTTTAATTTCAAACTTGTTGGTATCGCTGGTGAAAACGCGGCGATGTCGCTTTGAGCTGCTGTGTTTTGATTTTGGTCGGTACCGACAAAGCAATGAAATGAATTATACTCATCTCCCCGTTTAATAAACAGAAAACGTTTCGGTTGAAGTCGAGGCATTTGTCAGTGACTTATCTTAACATGTCTTTAGGTACAAGGCCTACAAAGCTTTCAAGATGGCGTCCACGATTACCCCTGAGCTTGTGTAAGAAAAACGCGTGCTCTGCAGGCTAATCTCAAGGAAAACACGGTTCTATTGAAAATTCCTGTTAGCCATGATTGCAACCCGATCAAATGGAAAAATAGTCATCGTCGCAGATGAGTCTAGTGAAACGTAATTTTTAAGTGCTTCGACCCCTTTCATAAAACCACATGGATGAAGATTGCGCGTCTTAAATATATAGCAAAAACCAAAATTTATTTTACAATATTAAGCCTTCATCTGTTATTTGCCCTAGGCGTACAACACTTGCATGAAGAAGCAATTTACTTCATCGATTTTTATCTGCTTTTGATCAAATTTATTCCATATTTTTTTATACCTTACCTCTATCTAATTCTCGCAGTGATAACCCTTACAGAGCCTTACACGTCACATGCATGTAGTTCATGACATGCTTACTAATTTATATTTGTATGTAGGAACGAGGAAGTCCGTTGTTTATCAGCATCGCAGCCTCGTCAGCCAAGTCTTAGGTTGAAATAAAAAAATACATATGTATGTATATAAAAAAATAAAAACTAAAATAAAAGGTTAAGCAAAGCGTCAATATTGCCCAGTTTGCTTAGGAACGCCGAGTAATCTCTGAGCAGTTTTGTAGTTGCATGTTCACAAATGAAAGATGAAAACTATTTGTAGTATGCTTGTTCTCTGCTCTGAAGAGGCCGTTTACCATCCATAATTTTGAACAATATGATCAAAATCCCAACACCATATGAAAAAAGGGTAAACATTTTCACTGATGCAAATGAAGTGCGGCTCCCTTATATAATTAATGTTGATGATTATGTTTGGTAAGTACATTCACCAACCACTATACTAACCGTTAAAGAAAATAGTTGTGTTCTGTGCAATTTATCCTAGCAGCCAAGTTTTCTACTGTATTGGTATCCAAATCCTTAAGCGTATCGTGCAATTGATCTTCACTACCTCGGTTACCCAAAACTAATTGCTTCTAAATCAGAACTTCTTTAACGTCAGCGTAGTCGTGAAAGACGTTGTATTAGGCCATTTCTTTATTCTCTATTATGTACAGTTGTTTAATTGCAAAATTAATGAACATTATCCTAAAGCAAGGTATTTTCAAAGCGTCACGCCTTCACGCAAATCATCGGTGATAATGATCCTTTTAAAACGCAAAACACTCATTAAGAGACACACTCTGAAATCTTAACACTCTCTCAGGGAATAATGGCTAAAAACAGGTGTTCCTGACATGAACACTATCACACATCCTTTTCACTCTAAGGAGAAAATGCTTTCTTGAAGCTTCATCTGCTTAGGCTGACCTGCTTACTTAAGGTAAGCGGCGACAATTACTAATTGCTTTGACACAAGAGGCCCAGGAAGTTTTTCCAGTGTTTTGTAAACACATCATTCTTCGCGGCAGCTTTTACGTCTCTAGACAATCGCCACAACATCACGTACTCGATGTGTAAATTGAATGTCAGTGTACATCTTTTTTGTTTCGTTCATATCAAACATAGAGCTGACTAAATTATTTAGGTTTAATGTCGGAAAAGATATCCTTAGTGTTGCCCGAGGGACGAAAAGTTCAACAAAGGTGCCTCAATCTTTCAACTGTTCTAAAGTTTTTGATCCCTCATCCCGCGAGTAAAAGCCACAGCAGTGTATTGGATCACAACCTCGTGAGACAGTTTTGCCCTTTTAGGAACACTAACGCAAAGATCGAGCCCCCATCTTTCAGCTTGCATGGGGAATTTTTTACAACCCAAACCATTTGGGTCATTCAAACCAGTATTTTTTTTGTATTTCAGTTTTTACGTGCGGGGATAAAATTTTTGGAGACTGTCGTTTAATCGGGTTTTAAATACTTCTGCCATCTGTTCGGAAGAGAAACTGGCTCATCTGACGCATGTGCATAGTGTAGGGTGGAAAGGGAATCTTTTGGTTCCCATCCAAAATTTGATGATGATTTATATATTCAAAACTGTTTAAAGTTTTAGCCTCCTAAGCCAGCAAATTTGCTAAGAATTGAGCCGGAAAAATTTAAAACTAACTTGACATCGTAAACATCTTTGCAACAACGGCAAGACATTTATGAGGTCTATGGTATTCAGCGTTTTCATTTCCTTCCGGTTTTTTCTGATCACAAAACCGTGACTTAGCTTCCTCTATGTTTAGCAATATTTATTCATCAAGATTAAAATAGTTTCAGATCTTTCTAATACGGTTTTGTATGAAGTTTGACATCTCTGGGACCAAGAGAACTGTTCGTAATAAACGCGTGCCCAAAAGCAGAGGTCAGTCTGTGCTGTACGGTATTAAGGAAGCGTTATTTCGCCTCAAGTTAAAGAAATGGCGATGTAAAGTGAAAAAAAAAAGCAAGATGCTAATTTGAATTTTTTATAGAAAGCATTTTTGTTCGAATTTCATGACTGGTGTATCTCGATTGCAGGACAGTCTTACACAGACGAAGTAACCAGCTTTTATAGTTTAGTTCAAGTGATTAATTAGGTTTGATTGATTCAAGATGGCGGCTCCCAGAGATAGGATTTGAGAGGATGCGAGATTTCAGATGTTCAATATCAAATTCTTTAACAAAATGGCTTTGCTATCAATGATACAGGACAACAATGGTGTTGGCGGACTTAACTGCAAGCTCAATGAATTCCGATGCCACACTGCAGACCAAAATATCGGCGATTTACATTTTGTGTTCAGTACCATAGAAACTGATGACAGCTTGTATGGAGCCGGTTCGCCTCGTCTACCTATTATTCTATCACGTCATGTTAGGTGATCCAAGATTGTCTTCAATTCTGGATTCTTCGCTCTGGACTCGGGACTCCAAGTACTGGATTCCGGATTAATTTTAAGTGGAACTTGGATTCCGGATTCCAATTGTTATCTGGAATCCGCAGTACTTCAGCTGTATTCCGGATTCCAAAGCCCAGGAGACCAGATTCCACGTGCAAAAATTTCTCGCATTCCGGAATCCGCATTACGTGGAACGACTTCAACGAAAAAAAAGCAGCCGTTCCAAACTTCCCTGCAAAGCCAAGAGGGAGGAACGGTTAATACGTTCCAAATTGAAGTGACTATTGTTAATTTGTTTTGCTGCCGAACGTTTCCTGCACCTAATTGTAAGGTATATTGGGTTCGGCCTACAAAAAGTACCGCGTCTGGATCGGGCTTCATTAAATTTTTAAATTTTCAATAAGGGTGCTGTCATCTGCTGTCAGTTTTGGTACTCGGTGTTAAAAGATTAATCATGAGTTAATAAACTGACTTAGAATTTCATTAAAAAATCACCTAATACCCGTGGGGTCTGTTAAGCACCAACCCAAACAAACTGAACTCAAATTATTAATTTACTTCCGTGACAGACGACATTTCCTGAAAGTTAACATAACAAAAAGTAAAAGCCACTCAGTATATATAATTTTTTCTAAAACCTCAACTAATTCCACTTGAGCCCGGTTGTTTTCATTAAAGTTGAACACACGTAAAAAGGTATATATTTTACTTCAAGGTTAAAGAAATTTCACGTGTACGGTGGCGCCTAAAAACGGCTTTTGAGAATGATGAAAAACTATTAACTTTTCAATTTCAATCTAGACATCATTAAATAACAAACGCACCCTATGTAAAAAATATGGACTATGAATAATGTATACTCACTAAATTCTCAAGCTAAGTTCTCCTGTGGTTTCTCGTTAACACATTTGCTTCTTGAAATCAAACATATATATCTGATATATAAAAATCATGTTCAGAGTAAAAGATAGTTCACTTGTTCACAGTATTTAAGGCTTGTCGAGTTAAAATTAGGACGAATTTTATTTCAGCCTTAAACTTGTAAACTAAAAACTTTCAAATAAGAAGAAGTTAGTCATTTATATTAACATAACATATTAATAAGTTATGATCTTCAGTCTGTTCAGTGTGACACTCAGTGCAAGGAAATTAAACTTCCTGTCCTCAAGGAATAAAAAAAGATGGTGGTACATCGGTTTTCATGGTGTTTCAATGCA